CATCCACATTATTGCTCCACATTGTTTGTGAAACACGGGATTATCTAGATAGAGGATAAAACCAAAAGGAATCAAGTTGCACTTCGAGCAGAGAGGGCTTTTCTTTTAATCAGGCATTTGGTTAAGATAATAGGCTTGAGACCCTAATTGATTTTTACTATTTTAAGGTTTTAAGATGGCTATGTATAGTGAGATGCTGAACATGTAAAAAGCTTTAGAAATGGGTTCAGTGCTAGTTTGGGGGACTTGTGTAATTTCAAAATGCTGAAAAGGAATCAAAGTCTCCCCAAAAGCTGCTCTCTGAAGCTTAATACATTGTCACTCAGATTGCAGTGGAAGGAAAATAACTGCATTTGGACTTCTTCATCTTCAAAGGAGTAACTCTCTCCCAGTTTTATTTAAGCTTGGTTCTCAGGAAACCAGCTGTATCTCTGTTTAGAAAACACCTTGTATATTTATGGTGCAGTCTAACTATTTTATAGCAAAAATTATACTGTTGGATTATGCGAGGAAGCCTGCTAATTAAATAACAATAATACCTTGAGCACCTTGAAAACATCTTCAGATATTCAATTAAGGAACAATAACCCAATGAACTTTAACCTATAGACTATATTCAGACTTTCTACATAAAAGTAATTGCATCAGTCATGATTTTCTCAAGCTACAACACAAGCTCTTGATTGGTAGCTCAACGTCTGAGACTCCTTTTTACTGCATTAATTGGGAAAGCAGACAATACTCTCCCTGTAAACTCCATTTTAGGATGAAGGTTAGTTGCCTTTGTACACGTTTACTCATTGAAATAGGAATGTTTGCTTAATAATTCAAAACAAATAGCACTAGACAACAAATCCTAATCCTGATTTCTCCTCTGCCAGTGTAAATTAGGAGAAAATGAGGTGAAACTCCATTTGATCAGTGTAGAAAGATTTGTTTAAAACTTCTTTGAGAGAGAGATCAGAATTAGGCTCCAGCAATTGAAGCCTTTTCTTCTGCCTTCTTTGCTGGGATCCAAAAGAAGAATATGTAAATGGCATTGGGAATTTTCTCCCCAGTCAAAGCAGCCATCAAGTTATGGAAAGATGTTTTCCATGTGGCAGCTGGTACAATAACGTTGTGGTGTTGTGCTCAGTGATTTATTAGTCACTATCCGGATCTGCTTCATTCAATTTGGTCATATTATCCCTGGGTATTTTCCTCCCTTAGGGGAAAGATGATCATCCTTGTGGGCCAAAGTGAGATTTTAGGTGATGAGCTAAGTCCTACCTGCCCCTAGACTTGACTGAAGGAATGGTTGAACCATTTATTTTAATTCCTCCTGAAGGTTGTCAGCCCACCTTTGTTTGGCAGGGCAGGGAGCACGTGCTTTAGTCAGGCGTGTGATGGATATGAAGCACCTGCTCCAAGAGCTTTGCTGAGTCAGGGCCTGCCCTGGCCAGCCACGTGTCTTAATTTGTACCCAAAATTTCAGTGAATGAACTCTGCAAGGTTCATTTTGAGCACCTGCTTTACTACCAGGCTGCGGCTGTTGCACAAAGCTGCAGACACAACCTGCCATACACAGCAGGTTCAATGTCCCATCTCTTGGATATTGAGTGAAATTATCACAGTGCAACTATTTCAGTAAAGTGCCCTGTGAAAAGTAAATCTTTGGAGCTTTCAGGGTGTTTAATCATCCTTTCAGTGCAGGAGCTTGTTAATGCTAACATCTGCATATGCAATTGCTTGACTTTACCTATTTTTCTTCTCATTCAGAACTAAGTGGATCAGCCAAATGGATACATTCTTTGCATTTTGACCCCCGTTAATAATGTTAGCTTCACATCTTTTGTCAGTGCTGCTGTTTCCCAGTGATGCTTCTTTTACACATTTAAGTTCTTTGTGCTATTTCCCTCATTTTCTTCTCTCACTGTTATGCCAGCTCGAAAACGAGACTCCCAAAAACAAGAGTCTTAGGCCTGGATTTTGCAGTCTGAGCCATCCAGGCAAACCTTTAAAAATTCCATGAGGTTCTGCTGAAATTCACAAACCAACTGCAAATTCACAGACCAACCAGACCTCAAAATACATTCATAATCTGGCTCTAAGCCGAGGGCATGGCTTTTGTGGGTATCAAAGCATTATTTATGATTGGTGAGACAAGCCCCCGATTTCCTAATGTTTATAAGTAAATACCAAATTGGAGAGTTGGGAAATACACCTTTCATTTGTGAAATGTTTATTTTTGGTATTGAAGGATGAAAATCTAACCATGCTCGTTGCGTGCTGTTGTTTAATGATTACTGTTACATGTGCTCCCATAAGGAATGTTCCTGCAGGAATAAGTGGACATTTCAAGTGCACCCAAGTTAGGAATATTGAAGTCAGCATGCCCAAGATAACTTATTCATCTTCTCTCATGCCCTGAGAGTCAGAATGAATTTAAAATGGCACTTTCATTTCTGGTTTCACCTGTGTGTGACAGGTTAAAGTAACACGGTTTGCCTTGCCACAATCACATTTTTACTGGATAATTACAAAGTGCACTGGGCTTTCCCTTTAAAAAATCAGCCAAATACCCTACCATGGCTGTGATTCAGGGTTATTTGGTTTGGTTTTCTTTTTCCTTCCATATTTAAATTTCACCTTCACTCTCGGTGCAGCAGGAACCTGCCTGGGGGATGCAGGTGGGAGTGGACACCAGAGCAGAGCCAGTGCTCTGCGCTGGGGAGAGAAACAACACGTGGCAGATGTTTGTGGCATTGCTGGATGCACTTCTGGAAGTTGCTCAGATGCTGCCATGATGAGCACAGTGTGAGAAGTTACATAGCATAGACTGGCTTCCCTCCGAAGGGCTCTGCGGAGTAGTAAGCGTCCTGGCCCCCATCCAGCAAGGCACTTAAGCATATGCTTAATTTTAGGCACATGAGTGGTTTCAGTGAAGACCTAAGAGAATTATTTTTAATTCACAGATCATTTAATTCAATAGGCAGGTCTGCTGCAGCATATGAAAAGTAGATCTTCATATTAAAAATACTTGGGAAATCGGCGATGAACAAACGTTGTGTATGGGCAGCAACCGTTTCTAAAAAGCAGAATGGGGTAGTCATCACCTTTATTGTGGGAAAATACAAAGCACATCAGGCAAAAGCACTTAGAGCTATCTGGGAGCTATTTCTAAATTGAAAATAAGGAAAAATAAAAGCTTGTGAGAACATTTTTTTTCATTTGAAGTAGAGAAAAATTTATTCTCTTGATGTAAATAAAAACCTTGTTTGCAGATTGAGGAATTTGTTTGTGTTGAATTTCAGCATCAATTTCAATATTTTATAGTACATTTATCTACAGCTGGAGCATGACAGATTTGTGTATATTTATATGTTTGTGTACATAATACATATGTATACACACATACACAAGGATGCCCAAAGATATACATATACACAGTTTGAAAACTCATCATTATTGCTGGAGTATAAAAACATGCCTGATGCAGAAACTTGTCTGGAGTCTGTTAGCTCAGAGACTGCGTTCATCTGGCACCGTGGGCTCCTCGCAGAAACAGGGAACTTCTTCTGTGTAGGAGCAGAATTCCATGGGATCTTGGCTGGAGGTGAATGGCTCACCTCCCTCTAGATCTCTCCCAAACCTTTCCCTGACACACTGCCTGACATTCCACCCTCTGCAGTCCTGTACGGAGGACGAATTGTTTTTGCGTGCCATTCCGCAGGTAGAAATGGCTGTGGGATATTCTGGGTTTGTTTAAACAACCCCAAAAGAAAACCAGGAATACAAACATGGGGCTGGCATTACTCCTGTTGCTCTGGTCATTAGAGAAGGGTGCACAGGTATTCCCAGCATGAGCGTGGGGTGCAGGAGAATATTTGGAATGCGGGGAAATCGTACTGAGCCCGACAAACAATTAACGACGGAGCAGATGGTGCCCCTGCAAAACACTCAATAATAAATGTGTGCGTGCGCAGGAATCAGTGACTCTAAGTAGGACAACCTAAAAAGGTATGCCACTTATCCTGTGGGCAAGCAGGACTTTACAGTTCTTTTAATAATCCCTTTATCCTGCGATTTCTCCTGTGACCCTGATTTCCAAAGCAGGAGGTCAGCCTGGCCGGCCGAGTGCAGCCTCCCTCTAATTGAAGTCCGGCTCTGTCCCGCCTGAGCTGCCGGATCCCTGCTCCTTTGTCACTGAGCATACCCGTGAAAATTAAATGAACATTTGGTGGTAGGCATGTTTGCAGAGAAGAAGGAAAATACTGTTATGTAAAGTGCCATCACATTTTGATACCGAGTGTAGAGGCATTCCTTGCACAAGGGATGCGTGGATGCGTTAGAGGCATTCCTTGCACAAGGGATGCGTGGATGCGTCCGCCCTGCTTCCTACAGACAGTCCACAGCTCAAAGTTAATACTTCTTCTTATGCATAGATTTATTTTTCTTTTCAAAACTTAGTTTTAAATGTTAGAATTGCTTTTTTATTTTTTTTTTTTTAGTTAGTTAAAAAGGCCTTAATTTAAATTTTTTTAACCATCTGCTCAAATGAAGAATACATCTTTAAATCTTGTTTGGTTTGAATGAATGGGTAGATAATCCTGATCAGATGTTTCTTTAGAGAATAATGTTTAAAACGATTATGGAACTTAGCTCTCCTGTCTGTTTCCTAGGTACAGTATTTTCATTTCAGTTGTGAAGTCATTAGGGGTCATCCAAGGTAACCGTTTATTAAAATAGTCCTCTTTTGTTTCAGATTTCCTGTTGAGATGCTTTAACATGTAAAAATCTCCCTGCTGATGTGTCATGTTAGCTTTCCTAACCTCTAGATAGAAACCACAAAGCAGCCTACATAGCTGTATGACTGGTTACCCACCTACATAAACAATAATTACTGCTAAGTGGGAAATTAGATGTCACATTTTAAGTCTAAATGAAAGTAAACTATTTGAGAATACTGTCATTAAATGCTTAAAGCTAATCGCAGTTCTCTCACTCTGTTTGTTTTGTAGGACATTTGGGCTTCCAGGACAGTTTTGTCACATCAGGTGTTTTCAGTGTGACTGAGCTAGTAAGAGTCTCACAAAGTAAGTATCATTTTGGGGCTGGTTTATGTGGTTTCTGAAATCCAAGTTGGTTGTTGGCTTATTTTTTTTTTCCCCCCTTTGATTCTTATTGTTCCCTTCCTCAATTCAAAAACAGCATCTTGAAAATTAGGACTCTCTTCTCCCCTCTTCTTGCCAGTGGACAGCATTTATGTGCCACTTCTTTTAATGGGTGAAAATAAATCAGCAGAATTTTAAAGTGAGCTGATATATCATTTGATTCTGCAAACTTGCATCTGCAAGTTGATAAGCTCATCTGGTATCCAGCTGAAAATGGGCAGAGTGCAGACAAAGGAATGCAGAAATCAGCTTCTCCTGGATCCCTTGCAGGATCCAAGGGCTGTATTGTAACCACACCTCTGGAAATTACCTGATCTGTGCACATAAGCTTAGAAATTTTCTGATGCTGTTTTTTCACATTGTGTTCATCCATGCCATGTGGACATGTGTGTGTCTGTGATTCTTGGGGCTGTCCCAGTGCAGGGCCAGGAGTTGGGCTTGGATGATCTGTGTGGGTTCCTTCCAACTCAGGTTATCCTCTGAATTTGGGGTTTGTACCACCTGCAAGTTACTGAAGTCATTAAGAACTGTGCCAACTTCAGCCCTGATAATCTCACCCACCCTGACTTCCCCAGGCCCACGTTTTCCATTAGCTGTGTGGAATTCTGTCTTCTGGAAGGATTTGGGTTTTGACCTTTAAAGAATGCTAATGCCCCCAGCATGAGTGACACACTGCAGCATGGTCATTACAGACTTGTCAATACTGACTAACAACACTGAATTAAGAGGACCTGTCACCACCCTGTTCCATTGATCAAAGGTGCATTGATTGTGTTTTGCTATGACATAATCCAGACAGTCCAAGGAAAGAGTATGGACAGGGTCTTGCAGAGACACTGCTGCTAAGCCAGGCCTGTAGGAACAAGTCCTTTAGGGATCTAAAAAATTCTTCCCTGTGAGGGTGAAGGGGCCCTGGCACAGAGAAGCTGTGGCTGCCTCATTCCTGGAAGTGTCCAAGGCCAGATTGGAGCAACCTGGAAGTGTTGTAGAAGGTGTCCCTGCCCATGGCAGGGTGGAATTGCATGACCTTTAAGGTCCCTTCCAAACCCAAATTCTGTGAATCTTTTCTCCAGCTACTGTGGAGCTGTGGGATAATATCACATTATCACAAATCACCACTGCTCCAGGTGAAACCCTCAGCTGTGTGCTCCTTTAAAACTTTGGTGTGCAACCAGTCCCTTTAAATGATAAAAATGGTTCTCCTCCTGGATAGTAGAAATACTTACTTGTGTGCTGCTCTGGGCATGCAATTTAAGTCACTCTGGGGCTAGGATCTGACTGGCACAAACCTAGTAGAAAATCTGTGGTTTTGAGTCGGAACACAGAGTTTCTCAGAGGATTTTCCTGCTTTATTTCCTCTCTTGGAAAGACACTAGCTAGTAAATTTGCTTTACATTCAAGAAAAGGATGGTGCAAGAAAAGCATGATGAATGGGAGATACTTGAGAGCTATGTGCCCTAGAGAGAGGCAGAGAAAAAGAAACCATTTCTCCTGAGCTTCCTTCCCTGACAACTGGTGGGAATTTTGAGAGAAGGGCAAAGTTAAGAGGACTCAGAAGTCAAGAGGAGCTGCTGAGTGCTCGGCACATTTGCCAATCAGTTCATTTGCTGAAGTGCTTAAGCAGAGACTTTGGCATTTAACTGGCTGTACAGGGAGCAGACACTGGCTGGTACCTGCAGCCAGGGTGGACAAACCCAGGTTGTCACCGGGATTTAAGCGTCCCCGTGTTGTGTCACTTCATTTCAGCGCGACAGCACGAGGCTTTTGAAGGGTTCACCCTCCCCCTGTGCAAGGCATCCCACTTCCCCACAGCCTTATCTTGGCTGGAGGAGCCCTGCACAGCAGAGCTGCCTCTGGACTCTGTCAGCCGTGCTCCATGTGTGCACTTTTCCTAGGAAAGTGCCCCACTCCTGCCTGGAGCCTTCCCAGCCTCCCCCAGAGCTTGGCACTGACCTCGTGAGCATCGTGTTTCAAGCTTATTAATTTTCCCTGATATTTTATTGTAACTAAACTGAAACACTGGGTATCAGAAATCCTAGCACTCAGCATGTTTTGCAAATTATGAGCTGTGTCTGAGATGTTCCCTCTGCTTGCAGTTGACGTGCACCACCTTTAAGGATGGGGCACCTGCATGCAGGAAGAGCATGGACTTTATTAAAAATAAGGAAGAAGGTGTTGGTGGGAAAAAATACAAAGATTCAGCTTTTATCTGTTCCAGACACGGGGGTTTGCACTGTTTTTCATGGGCTCTTTAATAATCCTGGCAGGTCAAGACCTCAGTTTTATATCCTGTCTACAAGCCAGCACCTCTACCAAAAATAGTGTCCCCAAAGCATATCGGGATATCACTTCAGAACTGACTCAGAGGGAAGAGTGCCAGCAACTGATTTAGCTACACTGCTTTTGATAGCACCCTGGATTTTCCTTGGAGATGCCCCAGACATGTACTGACCAGCCTTAACCTTGTTTACTTTATGAGGTCTGAGAAGCCCACAGCCTGACATGCCCTGGCTACCCAGTAGGATATGTTTAGTGTCAAGTCTAGCAGCATATTCCCAGAAAACTCAGTTCTAATTCATATGCTCATATTCAAAGAATTATTTAACATAACAGAGCAACAAGGTAATTGCTGCATATTTGCCTAAATTGGTATGCAAGGTCTTTTAAAGTTAATGTAACCCTCTCTGGGCTGTCTGCATGTTCCTGTGTCCTGATTTGAGACCAGTCCTCCTTCCAAAAAGGTCCTCTTTGTGTATGCCCACTGTTATTTTTCTTTCTATGCTTGCTTTTGGCAATATCATGATAGAAATAAGCGATTTCCCCCAATTTTAACTGGCCCTCGGCAGCTGTTATCTAAAATTAATCTTACAAAATATTGTGGGTAGCAATTATGTGCCAGGTTTGTTTAGTAAAGTTCCCAGAGGTCCACATGACAAGGAGCCTCAAGTAAGAGTCAGTTGTCTCCGTCATGCAAATTTGGGGAATGAATTAATCAAGTGAAAGGTCAGCTGTTTCTGTTATCTATCTTGCCTATCAGTGCTGATCATCACACTTTCTGTGAGCTATTGAACAAGTCTAGACTGTGTTGGTAACAGAAACTTGCTTTCTTCAGTCCTATAGATGTAGATTTTCTTTCAAAATGCTGCCCAGCTGCTGAGTCTTGCAGAGTCTAGTAAAACAGAGAAAAGAGATCCTAGATGTGCATCTGAAAAACAAAGCCTCCTCTCCAGCCCATCTGATGTGGGTGTTGCAGCTCATGCTGTCAGTTCTCCTCCATTATTAGCAGGCAGAGGGTGTGAGCTCCTCTCTGAGCGTTGTCTGTCACCCCAGATACTGGGGAGACCCTTCCAGATAATAGAGGCTTCATTCTTCCCTCTCTGGAGAGGCCTGTGCTGACAACAAAAGGCTGGGAGGCAGAAGCCTTGGAGATGGACGGGGCTGGGGACTGACAGCCAGCTGTTGGCCAAGTGAAACCTCCTCCTTTTCTCCCCTTGTCAGGAAAACATTCCCTGGCTGTGGGCAGCGGTCTCGGGGTGCTGGAGGAGAACCTCTGCAGAAGGTGCTGGCAGAGGGGTGGCTCTGCTGCCACCTTCCCTTGGCAAGGGCTGGGAGGTCGTGGCAGGCTGGAGCAGGGAGAAAGGCACAGGGAATGCATTCCCCCCTCCTTGGCTTGGAGTCTGCACCATGTGCTCTTGTGCAGGGAGAGCTGCTGGGAAGATCTCCTCCCTCGGAGGTCATTCCAGCAGCCAGATAAACTGCACTGCCCAGGATGTGAAGAAAGATTCAGGATTTATGAACGTTCGCTAGAGCCAAATCAAACATATTTGTTTGGTGGTGTGTTATTTGTCAAAATGACATCATTTCTCGTGCTGATAAACAAGGGAATTCTGACTGCACCCTGGCCTGAAAATGCCACACGTTGGGTTCAACGTGTGCTGCGAGGAGCAGTGCAGGGGGACTCCTCATCCTTCTCGTGAGCCTGTGGCACCACAAGCACACCAGCCTGCTCACTGCTGCTGTGTACACACAGAAACAGTCCAGCTAATTACCAATTATATATTGAAACACTCAAATTCCTGTGGGCAGGACGTTCTGGGGAGCTCAGGATCCTGCCACACCGATGCAGCAGGTGCCAGGCTTGGGCATGGAGCTCTGGGGATGCAGACAGGGGCTGAAATGTCCTTGCCATGAGGGATGGAGAGGCACTGCCAGCACTCCAGGCACGGAGCGAGGGTGCCACTGAGGAAATGCAGCCTCCTCGTGCCTCTCATCCAGCTTTTCCCACCAGGACAGTGAATCCCAGCAGGTCCTGGGTGCCTTTGGAGAGGTGTTGCTCTTGTGGAGGGCAGTGGATGCCGTCTTGTAGCCCAGGAGAGGAGGGGAGGCCGTTCTGCTCCTCACAGAGCACGTGTGTGATAAACTGGGGTGTGATAAACCTGCTCTCCCCGAGCTGCAGCCTGGGTGTTTTCTGCTATACTAAGCACTACACAGTGAAGGCAGTTAAAGTCAGCAGCATGAAAATTAACATTTAAAAAGATACTCTATATTCCTTAGCAAAGCACTGCTATCCGAAACTCTCTGTGTGGGCTTGGGTATGAGAGGGAGAAAAAAAAAAGATTATAATAAAAAATAGACTGCAGGCATAGAGTGAACAGTTGCCGTGACCTTGCCTTTTGTATGCCATTACACAATTCAATGGCAGTCCACTCAAACCTTGCTCTCGATCAATATCCTATTAAAGCAGCACAAAAAGTCTCTATAAACTTAGTGGTTAGCTATGTTTATAAATGGAACTCAGCATAATTAGATGGTCAATAGCAGGCTGTACTTGTAATTTTAAAATGAACATCACACATTTCATATCTGTTGTATTGGGTGAAATCTCTTTGAATCTAATGATACAGTGTGGAGGAAACAAAGGCCTTGCAAAAAAAAAAAAAAAACCCAACCCAGGTCCCCTTTCCTCCCAGCAGCAGCAACAGAGTGAGTTTCCCTTTGTTTATGGAGTCACAACACAGGAAAAAGTTTATTAGTCAAATGTCGTGTTTCTCCCATCTAACCTTAAACACATTATCACTTCACTGCAGTGTTACACGTGTAATGATCTGAGTCACATCCCAGCCCCTCTGTGAAAGTAAATACATACAAATGGGGGAAAAAAGAGAGACTAAATACTAATGTGGCTTAAAGAAAGTGCTGTATTCCAAGGGAGACAAATGCCAGCCTGGCTGGTTTTATTTAGTGGGTTTCCTGTTCTGTAATTCAGTAATTTTTTTCAAAATAAATATTGCAATTGGGTTAAGTCAGAGGGCTGTTTCTTAATTTCTCCATTATTTTTCTTGACATTTTGGGTGAGGAGCTGAGCTGGAGGGAGCAGGCTGGGAGCAGGGTGATGCTGCCCTGCATCCTGGGAGAGGAAAAGTGTCAGGCAGAGGCACCAACCTTCCTGCTCCTCCTCTGCTTGGGAAAACCAGCTCCTCCTGCCCCTCTGAGTCTGTCCCAGCTGCACAGGGAATTCTTGTGATGCCAGCAGCTGAAATGGGGGCTCCAGGCTGGGTGTGGGGCAAGAGGGATCCTTCCCTCTCTCCTCCTTCCATCCCATAGCCCTGGCTCAGGTGACATCTTGGTGAGCTTTTTGCTTTGACTCACAGTTGCAGTTTCTGACATCCTTTCCCATTTGGGGGATGTTCCTGAGCTGTCAGGAGGTCACTTTGCTGCAGAGCATTTCTTACAGGGGCAATGGTGTGTTTTAGATGTCGCTGATTGGAGTTTGTGAGGCTGCAGTTCCCACCACACTGCTCCACGTGGGGTGGAGCGTGTTCCTGGGGCATAGGAACAGGGGTAGGGAGGTTGTGTGAGGGATTGTTGTCTGCTGCAATGAACAGGTTTGGTTTAGGCTAAGTTTTTTAGTTTACACAGAGTTTTTTAGTTCAGACAAGAGTTTTGCCACAGTTTGCACCACTTTGATCCCTCTGCTTATTCTGCAGAGGTGCTGCCTTTTCTGGGAGTCATAGAATCACAGAATGGTTTGGGTTGGAAGGGACCTTCCAGCCCATCTCATTGCAGCAGGGACACCTTCCACTATCCCAGGTTGCTCCAGTCTGGCCTTGGGCACTTGCAGGGATGAGGCAGCCACAACTCCAGCACGTTGTTGTGATTTACAGCAGTAAATGCAATTACTGCAAGCAAAGGTAAAAATAGGCTTTGGTGGAGGACAGGCACTGTCAGAAAGGCAGGAGAAGGGATTTTGGAACCTCTCAACCCTGTGCAACCTTTGCCACAGCACCTCTGGGGCCAGAGACCTTGAGCTGGTGGTGACTTCTGTGCAAGGACTGCCACAGGGTTCAGGTACTGGCCCCCACAGCCCAGCCAGGCACTTTAACATCCCCTGGTGTCTATTAAAGGTGGGTTTTGTCCTTTAACCCTCTGGTTTCAAACTGGCATTTGAGTGTGGCGAGGTGGTTTTGGCCAGTGACCAGCACAGCATCCTTCGTGTTTGCTACCCAGGCAGCAGCCCCTGTGGGATCAGCCCTTTCTGCTTTGCACTGAGTTTACACAGCACCAGAAAAACCTTGTTCCTACCCTACCCCTCCTCTGGACACACATTCCTTTTTTCTACAGGGCCAGCTCAAGAAATATCCAGGATTTGGGGAAAGGGCAATAAACACGGCAGGGGGAAAGAAAGAGGAGAAGCATTACCCACATACCAGTTTTTCTGCCTTAACTCCTTGGAATAAAACTGTTTCATGGATTTGGCAATGCCCAGGAAATTATTTGTGCCTCAGAAAGAATCAGTGCTTTAATTTAGTGCTTGCCTTTCTATGTTCCTGTTTGGAAACCTGTGTGTAAGTTGGGCTTTGGGAGGCAGAGAGTGCAGAGGAATTGCTCAGGAAAAGGGTTTGCAGAGCACAGATCAGTTTGGCAAGGAAGTTGCTGAAAACTGTGGAGTAGATGCTGCAGAGAGTACCTTTATGATTGATTTCCATTCAAGTCAGACTGACTGCAGTGTGGTCATTTTTCTAACCCATAACTGCACACACTGCAGCAGTCTGCTATCTGCAGGGTGTCTGAATTATAGCAGTCCATGTCCCTGTTACCTTTTACACAAATTACTTACACCGGTTTCTTTTTCCATGCAAATTCATCAGTTTTACAGCCTCTTGTAGCTGCTGTCAGGAAACTGTTGCAGAAAGCACAAATTGATAAAACGAGTTAATTTTACTGTGCTTAATTTTTCTTTCCCTCTGTTAACACACCCTCTCATATACCCAGTGTGCAGGAAGCATATGATAGTTAAGAGAAGACAACAAAGGATTTGAGTGTTCTTGTCATAAATTACTTCCCAACTTAATTCCTTTTAATGATCATTCCAGATTTTCTCAAGTTTTAATGGCATTGTGCATTTTCCATCCCCGGCTTTTAAAAGTCCGTGGATATCCAGGCTGTTCCCTTTCTGTCTCAATGACGTTCTTAAAAGATCCTTGCCAAACAACAACTAATTGTCTTGTGGGGATGATGAGGCAGCTGCAAAGCTACATTATTCCTCTGTCAAATCTGACATTGTGAGCTCCTTAAGACTTGGGGTGAAATAACTGGCCCCGTTACAGTCAGTGGCAGCACTCCCAGCCCAGACATGTTAGCTGGGTGATAGGAGCTATCCTGTCTTCATTTCCTCACTCCTTCCCCATTGGACTGAAAGATTTTTTCATGTTTGAAAATGGGCCAGATTCTCAGACCAAAGATTAAAGTTGGCTCAGCGTCCCTGTGTGGCACTGAGACTGCTTCGCTTTTGTGGCTGTGAATCAGGGCTCTCAGACAATACAGCCCGGGCCAAGCTGGTGCATTTCATTGTGCAGGATGTCCTTTTTCAGATGGCTCTGAAATGTGAGAGAAAATCATGATCTGTAATTGTCAGCCCCCGAAGTTGTATTGTCCTGTAAATAGCACTGGAACAGCCACAGTGGACATGGTACCATTTGCTGTATTAGTGGCATTTCGGCACGAAATCCATTCTCTGCTGACTTCAGCGTTAAGCTGCTCTGTTCCTTGTCTGCTCCCACAAGAATACAGCACATGGAGTTCATGGCTGAAAATCTCAGGGTGTGTAGGAATCCGTGATGTTTAATGTGGAACCAAAGATCCAGGATGGGGAAACTGCAGGGATTCATATCCCTTGCAATAAAAATTTCAGTACTATAAGGATAAGGTGATGAGGTGAAGAGTAGAAGCTCACTGCTGGATAAAACTTTTGGGGAGTTGTGTGTCTCTGATTTATCTGGAGGAGAGGCCAGAGGAAAGCTCAGATGCTCTTAGGAAGAAAAGAGCTCGGGTTTCTCATCTGCTTTTTTAACCTCTGTTCTTGTGGCTGTACATCACATGTACCCCAGAGGTTCTGAGGTGTGTGTTTCCCTGCCTGTGATGCTTACAGATCCTGCCAAGCACTCTACAGGGATGATGCAGCCTATCTGTAACCATGCCAGCAGAGACAACGTGGTCCTAAAAGCAACAAGTTTCATTAAATGTTAGAATGACATTAATAGAAAAGCAGCGCTTCGAGGAAGTCATGCCATAATTGTTTAATTTTAAAAAATAATAATAGTATCTTTGGAGGAATGTAAGAGAGATTCTATGTCATGGAACATTGTATTCTTGATAAAATTTCCATCTTCTTGATTGCAATGCCAGGTACCATTAGCATTTCCTAATTTCCACATCCCACCTGTTCCCATCATGAAACTAAACACACTCATGAGGAAGAAGAAAGTGATTTTGAAGTGCAATTCATGCCATATTCACATGACTTACTGACTGCAATCTCTTTTGTTTCCCCAGCACCGATAGCTGCAGGAACAGGCCCTAATTTCTCCCTCTCAGATTTGGAAAGTTCTTCATACTACAGCATGAGCCCAGGAGCAATGAGGAGGTCTTTACCTAGCACATCCTCTACCAGGTAATTTAATCTCTGCCTACTACCAGGTTCCTTGGAAACCCAGGCCAGCATCATTACTCATCTGGGAAAGTAACCATTAAATTCTCTGACAAGCTGTTTGGGGGCCTCACGATGTGGAGCTGTTTCAGATTCACAGAGCTCAGTGTTCAGCTGGATTGCAGTAAAGTTTCTCTTGTGTGTACAAGCCTCTAAGAAAAACTGCTGCATGGACTTGTGTAGCTCCTGGTTGTATCTGGGTGTATCAGAAGTTTCACTGGAATTGTTGAGTTTCACGTTGTGGCAGAAGAGAACTTGGAGCATAATAAGATGCAAGGAATATCTTAAGATAGACTTACATGTATTCTTTATTGTAAAAAGTGTTGCCTGTGAGACTAAGACTGTTTTAGGACCTCTGTCTATAAAGCATTCAGTTTTCATAAAGCATTTAGAAGTTTGTGACTCAGCCTTTGGAAAACTGAATTGCTAATGCAGATGACTGCCCCATCTGATTTTGATTTCGGCTTAGATGCCAACTATCAAACAAGGATATTTTTTATTTTTTACCTTTCACTTTAATCATCCGTGAGATTAGATTTATAAACAAGCTCAGTCACTCGAGTAGTCTTGAACACTATTAAGGAACCAGATTGATTTTTTTTTTTCCCCCCACAGCCAAAATAGATCACTTATTTCAAAGACATGACAAGAAAGTCTAACTCCAGCCCAACGCTCTTTTACATTTTTATCTCAGCCTGCAGTGCCACCAGCTTTGCAGTGAGCAAATGCATGTGTGAAAAATCTCTCTGGTTTGAATATAGCTGTTGTTTTTATTTTAAAAATAATAATCTTTAACGAGAGGCTCTTAGCAGTAACTTCTTACAGTTTGCAGTGATTGGAAGAACATTCTGTCTTGCACTTAGTGTGCACGTTATGAAGCTCAGTGACTACAATTCCCATAACACATCAATTAAAAACTTTGTGCTGTTTCTTTCTTGCCTGTAAACTGTGTAGCCTACAGCACTCATCATTAGCACCATTCTCAGGTAGAATTTACTGGTGACTCCAGAAGCAAAAGTGAGGTTATTAATGTTACTTAAGAGCTCAGTTGTTGCTCTTCTATTCTTCTGCAAATAGCTACCACTGATAAGGAGCTAATTATAAACAGCATGGGTAGTTAATAACTTGGTAATATGTTTGTTTTCCTCTCATTAGGCTGTTCCCAGTCAGGAAAAAAAAAAAATTCTTTAAATACACAGACTCAGCAGAATTATCAGGCGGTAATTATATTGTATGCACACAATTTCCCCTATTGACACATAACAATTCTCTAAATTAAGGAATGGCCAAACCTGCATTCCACACATGCCATAAGACTTATTCTTCCTGTTTCTCACCAACTGGTTTTGCACACCCGCCAGCTCCTACCTGTGCAGAGCTCTGGGTGGGGAGGAGGCTGCAAGCTCTAAACCAATAGTGGAAGATTTTATGTCTGTTAAATGTGTTCCCCCTACACAGAGGAGCCTGTTCTTGAATGCCTGAAGTCTTAATAGAATACAGATTTGGGGGGGGAAAAAAAAAAGTGAGCTGGCCCAGCCTTGGAAAAGTACTTAGAAGAGAAATTCTCAGTAAGGTCCCCACGCAGTCTGTACAACTCATTATGGAAAACAGAGCCAAGCTGAGTGTCTTTGGCTCTGGGATCCTCTCCCTGCAGAACTGCTGGAGCCAGTGGCCACCAGAGACCACTCAAAGGGCTCTTCTGTGTCCTGAGCCTCTGGTGAGGGAGGTGTGATGTATCACAGGGGGATTCTTTAATGCTGACACTGGCCAGAGATACCCATTGGGGGCTTTCTACGCTTGCTGGCACAGCTGCAGAGTCAAATGCTTCTTATTGTGGGATAAAGTGAACATTTGAACCAAGAATGGGCTCTTCCATCATCCACTTGCCTCTGTTTCTTCTTATGGGACTGGAGTCTGGGCTAATTGGAAAGATTGAAAATAAAAGTTTGAACTGGTAAACAGTTTGCTTTCAGAAATAGCCGTGAAAAAATCTGGCGGTGAAAATAAGTCTCGTGTGTCATCACCGTATTCATTCAAACTTGCAAGAACCACGCAATGCAAATGAAATTCTTGCCTTTTTATTGACCTCTGCGTGCTTTGAAAAATGTCCTACTTCTGAATCTGTGAACGCCTAAATGTCAGGCTAACTTCTGGTCGAACTGGTGCGTGTTTAGGGGTTTGGCCTGTGAAGTGCTGTTCTGTATCTCAGCAAAGCACCCTAAATCTGTTCTACTTCGAGTTACTCTCAAGCACATCCCAACAGCAGTGCCTTGGTTCCTCTTCCATGCCTTCATTATGTGGGTTTTTTTTTTGCATTCTCAGCTCCACAAAGCGTCTCAAGTCTGTGGAGGATGAGATGGACAGCCCTGGTGAGGAGCCGTTCTACACAAGCCAAGGGCGCTCTCCGGGCAGTGGCAGCCAGTCCAGCGGATGGCATGAAGTGGAGCCAGGTAAGCCCCGGCTCCCAGAGCCCCAGAACATCATCTCCACTCCTTCTGGTTCGTTATCAGAATTGCTGTGTTAGAGAGGTGACCAGTTCTAGACGTCTCGTCACTTCGGAGAAACGGCCTAATGAAAATATGGCACTGGTTTTATTGCTCCTGCAGCTGTGAATGTTTCTGTAGTGTGTCACTTCTGTGTTTTGGCCAAATATCTGAAGTATTTAAATAATGCAGCAGAAGACAGGCGGTCTTTTTCTGTCAAATTGTCCAGATTCAGTTCTGGGATAGCTTTTTCTAGCAGAAAGCAGTACCTGTCTGGGCTGTGCTCCATCGGTTATGCTGCTTAAATAAATATCCCTAAACTTATATAAGGTAGAAGGACTTTTCAAGCATTATACAACACTTGAGATCACTTTAGTAATGACTTTTAAGAGACTTACAGAAGGAGTTGTTTTATTAATCTGTAATGCTGTGAAGTGTGATTGGAGGCTTCATATCAAAATAGATATCACTGGGTGTTACCAACTTCAGAATGTTGAGGAAGCTCTTTGGCCTCTTCTCAGTTAATTTTTGTGTGTGATCTTTCCTGTTGATCATTTTTTTTGGGTTCTGTTATGTTACATACTTAACTGTCCATTGATCACTTATCCTGAGATCATCTGGGTGCTTAATACTATTGGAAATATTTTTCTGGCTCAGAGCTATGTGCATAGGTGAAGTTAATGCCTCAGTGTTGCTTACAGCTAAATAATCAAGTATTTATTGCCAATAAAAATAACAGAAATCTTATTTGTTAGAGGAAGGCAAGCAGTGCCTCCCAGGGTTTGAGAAGGTCCTCCAGAAGTACAAAGGATCTTTTGCAATGCGTATTTTTTTTGTCTTTCTTGTTTGTCTGGATTTAAAATAGTATGGATTTGGTTTGTTTGGAAAAAAACACATGCTTGTCCAGGGCACTCTGTATAATGAACTATACAGCACAGAAAAGTAAATTCGACCTGCACAGCATTAAAATCAGTTCTGTGGGCACTTGGCCAGCCACCTATATCCTTCATCATGTAGGAAACATACCCACAGCTTTCTCTGGAGACCCTGTCAAACAGCTGTCCTTTACAGCATGCCCAGAAAGTCACCAAATTTGGGCTATTCCAGACTGGGAGGAGACTGATTCCTGTGCCTGGGAGCCCTTGGAGGATCCCCTGCCAGCTGCCCTCTCTCCTCTAATGAGGAGGAGCCAGCTTGTGGGCCCTTATTGACTGCAGATGTGGCACTTTGGCAGGAGGAGAGGGTGGACCTGCGGGCAGACAAGTGCCAGGCTCCCCGTGACTGCCTTGCCACCGCCGTCCCCAGGGCTCTGGTGCTCGCTCTGAGGTGTCCTGGGCACCAGGGGCTGTCCCCTCCATCAGCTCCAGGCTCCAGATGATGTAAGGCAGAGCTTCACCTTGTGCTAAACCTCTGCTCACGAGGCGGCAGAAGCGCGGACAAAAGCTCGGCGCCCGCCCAAAGGGAGAGATCACAGCCTGCTCTGCAGACACAGATGGCTGCAAGCTGATGGGGTCACTGCTTCTGCATCACTGTCAGGCTGGGGCACAGCTCCCCCCAAAGTTTGGGGTACTCGTTGTTAATGACAAATGTTCTCCATTTGTGCAGCAGCCAGAGGTTGGCTATTAATTCTGCTGTCACTTCTGGCGGTTTTGCCCACATGTGGTCATTACCTCTGGCTCATCCAAGTCCTGCCTTGGTGGTGGCACTGAGCTGCTGAGCTGGGCAAGGGAAGTACCCAAAGTCTTACACCTCCAAAGCACCTCTGCTCTTGGCACCACTGGGCGCCCAACATGAATGTCAAACTTCCTGAGGTGCTCAGAAAGGCAAGAACAAGTCAAACAAGAGAAGGTTCTTCCTTCCTCATGACCTTCCTCACTTACTGTAGAAAAATCCCAGATTCTGCTTAGTCTTGCCTGTAAAATGGCAGAAAATCACCTTGCAGCATCAGGGACTGTAGCCAGGTACCAACTAGATATAGCTCAGATTCACCAAGCCATCTATCACTGTCACAGCTGTAAAGAAAAAGAGCTTTGTCCTGCCCACGTGGGATGCACTTCCAAGCCATCCTTGTGCTATATCCACGCAGCCCCACCCCAGTGCTTCTGCCGTGGCTTTCCAGCAGCCTGTCCTCTGAATTCATTGCCTCAGCTTCTCTGTAAAACAGGGTCACTGCAAGAGCACGGCTGACAGAGGGATTACCTGAAGAGCCACAGCTCATCAGTGGTGAAGGACAAAACAGTGCTGAGCATCCTTCCCAGCCAGGGCAGCAGTGGTGTGTCACTGGCCCAAGGTGCTCCCTCTGTGCACAGATATCACACCTGGGGCTGACACTAACGAGTGGCCTTTTGCATTTAATGTGGGGGTTTCACCCCCAGAAGTGTAAAATGCTTCAGGAATCTTTAGTGGGGAATCTGCCTAGAAAACAGTTTGGTCACCTGAAAGCTGTACAAACGATGTTAACATCCCATTTTAGCTGGGAGCTTTCCACAGCATTCTTCTCTGAGAGGGAGCTTTGGAGCCTGGACCAGTTTCAGATCCATCCTTTTCGATGTCTTTATCTCCAGAGAAAGGCCTTGCCATTTGTTTAATCTACAATCAAAATGGTGGCACAGTTTTTAGCATACAGTAATCTCCAAACTTCGGTGTTTTGTTTTCTTCTTGGTGAAATTTGCAGTAGAAGTTTAAAGTCTAAACCCATCTTTTTGTTTAACTTGGCATCTCTTCCCTGCAGCTCATTTTGTGCAGTGTGGGATAACACAGGTATCAGCAGTGCAGAATGGTGCTGTTTCAGGAGACAGGCTGAAGTTTTATCCCGTGCTGGCAGAGTAGTGCAAGCCAGGTTTCCAAACTCCATAATTAAACCCTGTCCTTTGGGTTACTGGCCAAACAACAGGAGGAGGAAATCAGACCAAGGAAAGGAAGCTTAGACTTGTCTGTGGGATGGCTGCTCTGGCTGGGAAGGAAAGTTCAGAGAGGAGCCAGCAGCCAACCTCCCAGCCCAGTAGGATCCACACCAAAGATAATAATACATCCTTTGCCTTTATTGCCTTTGAGTAGATTGCTTCCTCACAGGAGATTTAGATTTATGCAGAGATAGCTTCTTGGCCTATATGCCTTGACAGGTTTATGGGAGTGAGAGGATGAATATTCCATCTCTGTGTGTTGCATCTGCTTAATTTTGAGGTGTGCACATGGGGAAGAGGGGGGACTCAAACACGGGAGCAGGTGTGAGGCACAGCCATGCTCGTGGCACAGGCACTGGGAGAGGGTGGTAGGGAAAGCTGTGGCCTGGGACAGTGCAGGGAAATCAAGGTTTGTGTGAGGGGGAGATGGAAGAAATGCACTTCAAAGAGAGCAAAACGTAGAGGAGGGAGGGAAAATGAGAAGACAGCTTTAGACCATACAGAAGGGAAAAAGAACAAATGCCAGGAAAACAAAGATTTGACTTCCTAGAAAGGAAATATGAAATGGAATACGTGAACTCCTCTTAGAGAAAGAGAGCACTCCAGGCAGAGGGTTATTTACCGCCAGCCGTGACTAGTCGCTCTACATCTGTCTCCATTTTTTTTCTCTTGAACAAATTCCCTTTTTGGATACTTTTCTTCCTGCTTTGCTTCCCTGTGATTGCCCCTGTAAGTGGTCTTTGGAGGGCAGGCTGTATGCTCAGAACATATGTGCAAACTGGCTGGAGAACAGAAGAGGACAAAACCACTCTGTGTGCTATTTAGATTAGGCAGTGGATGCTTCCCCCGTGCCTTCTCCTGGGGTCCCTGCTGTGTGCAGGATGCAGGCTGCACCTATTGTCCATCCACAGCCCTTCCTCTGAGCTTTTTCTTGCTCTGCTGAGGCACCCTGATGTCTGTCTCATGTGGAGACTTTGCTGGGTGTAGATCCTCCCTGCTTCACCCACCTGGGTGCGGATCCTTCATGCTTCACCCACCTTTCTGTTCGTGGCACGGGGGGCTCGCAGTGATGAGCAAAGGACTCAGCTTTGTGGGTTTTTTTACAGATATTTCCTGCGACCAAGGGTGCAGCACTCTCCTTGTACGTCAGAGGTGACAGCCAAAGCAAACCCCAGCATTAATCCCGTGTTCCTTGTGCTGTACTCCTTGAGTCTCACATCCATTTACCTGCACTCGAAAGCTCCTGGGGAGCTCTCCGACCTAAAAAGGCTGGAGTCTGCCAGAAAAGATGAATTTCCTTTCACAACAGGAAGGCTTAGGAAGTAAAACAAAGCAGACATGTAGTAAATTACTTCTTCTTTTCAAATACCTTTTGCGGTATCCTCCTTACCATTACTTTATCTCAGCACTTTTGGTACATAACTCTTGTTAACTGAGAAGAAGGGCAAGAGAGGATAAAGATGATGTTAGTAAGAAAATAAGGCAACATCACACTGGCTTTGAACTCCTGCACAAAGCTGGCCTGTGTTCAGTTCTGTGGCAGCTCAGCTTGTAATGGGGGTAAGCCATAATTACAGGTATACGTTTTTTAATTCCATAATAAGCAAAGATTGAGTTAATGTGTATCTGTATTCCACTTACGCATTTTTTCAATGTGTTCTCTTGATCCAGTCCAGGAGTAATGTTCACATTGTTCTCCCTCAGTCATTTTGTGAAACATATGGATGGTATTTGCCAAGTCTGCTCCCATTGTGCTTCTACAGCGTGGCATGGAAAGAAATGTTTAAGATGCAAATTCAGAGTATACTACTGGATTCTTTACTTAGGTTTTCTACTTGTTTCTTTACTTAGATCTTGTGCTTTATTCTTAGATCTTCTACTTGTATTTCCACACGGTAGTTTAGTCCCTAGAGGACAGTAATCCCAGGAAAGGTACATGTTTGCACTCCGTGTCTGAAGAGACTGAAGACAGCTCTGCTTTGCTTGTGGTCTTGACCAACTTGGTTTGCAAAACTTCTGGAGCTCTGTGGTCCTTTTCCCACTGAAAGACTGGTGTGGCTGTTC